CTCACAATAGGTTAAACTTGTAACATATTGCAAAGTTCGCCGTTTTATTCAATACTTTGTCCTCTACTTTTCAAACTCCAAGAACGAGATGAACTTTTCTAGCCAGCGCTGTCGTGATGTAACACAGCACATCATGTTTCTGACAACTGTTGTAATAGAGAACGCTCTTGTAAATTATGACACAGTCATAGTACAGTATGCATAGTTTATCAACACATAATTGGTCCAATAAGTTATGATTTTATGGATATGCCAATCTATCAACGGATTCTAAATACACCCAATAAAACTATGTAAATCTATATTAAGTTCTCTTAGGAACAATTACTTATGTCATGGAAGATACATAGGTATCTAATCATAGAGTCTCCCGCTCATTCTCAACGCTCACAATCTGTTTAAAACAGTATCGATCGCAATGCAGGAAGTAAAAGGTGCGGTAAAGTTCGTCAACTAATACAATTAATAAAATCAAGGAAGATAGAAGATTGATAGTGTTATTTTAATTACACTATCGTTGGTATTTTCCCATCTAGAGACTACGTGAACATTCTCATGCCGGGAATTTGGTAGAGAGTTAAGTTAGCGAACACTGAAGACTTTAGTAATTGCGCCCTGGAAGTGTATCGGAGATCGGCAAAGTTTTCAACTCAACACATAGGTAGGTCTCTCCAACACGTCCTCGCTTCCCAACTTACCCTTAACGGACTCTGATCGGAAACTCAGCCAATTTATTAGTGGCACCCCGCGGGGAAACTCGAATTAGTTACCCCACACATCATTTTGTGACTCTGTTGCTAGCGATAAAGTAGATGGCGCTTACATAAAACAATAATTAGCTAAGTTTTTACTTTGTTCTATTAACTAGTTTCTTAGCCTGATATATTTGAAAAATACTCTTTTATTTTATCTATACTAATATTATAAAGAGGAAAACTTTGTTTGTTTGTTTGTTTGGTTGTAATGAATAGGCTCAAAAACTACTGGACCGATTTCAAAAATTCTTTCACTATTCGAAAGCTACATTATCCACGAGTAACATAGACTAAATTTTATTTTGGAAATAAATAGGGTTCCGTAATATATTTGGGTTTTTCGGACACAAGGTGTAAAAAATCAACCAGAAAAGTTACTTATTTTGCGTACGCTGCCTAAACTATAAAAGATAGAACTATGAAATGTTCTAATTAGTTGTAGATCTTATAAATATCTACAAAAAACTCCGCGACACACTATACCTATCTATGTCGAGTGAGGCACAACAACCATTTTTTAAATCAAAAATCTTGAATTTTTTTGGACTACTTTTAAACGCATTTATTTTACTCATTCTATTAATCCTTATCAAAATAATTTATTTCATCATTAAGTACAGTTAATGTAGATGATATTTGGTCTTTGAATGATTAAAATTGGATGTTTAGTTTCGAAGTTATGGCGAAATTAAAATATCACGATTTCTGCTGCACGGCCCGTTGCGAAGTGAGCGTCACCAAGGCGGGGGTGCGCGTGCGGGAGGGGAGTTTAGATCTATGAGTATGGCTCCCTACGCAGCGGTCGTGCGCGAAGTCTAATAATTTTCCTGCGATTTTTTTTAGATTTCGTTCTTAAAACTACACTTGCGCAAAAGTTCTTCTCAGAGCTAAACAACAGTTCTTCTCAGAGCTAATCAACAGTTCTTTTCAGGGCTAACCAACAGTTCTTTTTAGGGGTAACCAACAGTTCTTTTCAGGGCTAATCAACAGTTCTTTTCAGGGCTAAACAACAGTTCTTTTCAGGGCTAAACAACAGTTTTTTTCAGAGCTAGAATATTAATAACTATTAACATTTTCTTAAACATTTGAAAATGCCTAAGAGAGCCAGGTCTCAACTTTCTAAACATAGTTCTCAAGCACGGGCAGCAAGAATACGTCGTATGGGAGAATGTTCACCTGAACGTTCACAACGCCTTGCTGAACAAAATCAGAGAAACTCTCAGGTACGCGCACGAGAGTCAAGTGTCGAACGTTCGCAACGGCTTGCACAACAAGATCTGAGAACCTCTGAGTTACGTGCACGAGAGTCGAGGCTGGAGCGTTCCCAACGTCTTCATGAACAAAATGTAAGGACCTCTGACTTACGC